ATATTTCAAAATTCGAGGTTCGGTTCTCGATATTAAACCTCGAAAAGAGTCTTTTCGATATTTAATACCGAGAACCTACTTCTCAAAGTTAGAAATACCGAGAAGAGGTTCTCGATACTAAACCTCGAGAAGATGGTTCTCGATGTTTAAATCTCAAGAAGGACTTTTCGATACTTCCATATCGAGAACCAAGTTCTCGATATTTGAGTATCGAAAAGAGCTTCTCGATATTTAAACCTCGAGAACCTACTTCTCGATATTCAAACCTCGAGAAGTTAGTTCTCGTGGTTTACACTCAGAAATTTTCTCGTGGTCCCACCTGTACACATCTGATCTGAAAAATTGCAAAAACAGAACAAAAATAAAACTTTCATTTGAACAATGTGCTGACCCAATGTCTTCAGCTAATCATGTCAGGAACAGCCAAGAATACACAATCAAGCAATGAACTGTACCCAAAAGAGAACTGGGTCCCACTTCATGACAACAACTTCCAATTGGACCTGAAGCTTTTCAAGTGTCAGGACCCAGTCATTCTCTCCATTTTACAGAAGCACTACCTTTGGACCGCATTCAATGAAGCCAAACCAGTACCAATGGTTTACCTGCAACAGTTCTGGGGCCTGATGCACACAGCCTCAGAAAAGGACAGGTCAAAAATCATGACCAAGCTGAACGACAAGAGAGTGGTGCTCACACCCTCCACAATCAGGGAGACACTGAAGCTCCCGGTCCTACAGAACTACGTACCCCTGCCTACCAATGAAGAACTGATCAAGGGGATGAAGGATTTAGGCTATGACAGCCCGCTGCCCCTGCTGTCAAATTTCACTATCTCCAACCTGCCCCACCCATGGAAGAGTCTGTTCGGCCTGGTCAACAAATGCTTGTCTCCTAAGCATGCCGGACATGACAAGTGCAACAAGCAGATCCTACAAATCTTCCATGGGATTGCATATGACAAGAAGTACGACATGGCCCAGCTCTTCTGGACAGAGCTGATGGACCAGGTAAAGATGAAGGAAAACAACAAGGGAAGCACAATTCCCTACGCTCGGTGGCTGGCACTGATTATCCACAACATGTTGGAAGCCACCCCCACAATGCCTAAGCGCAAGGAAGACAAACACTTCGCCGCTCCAAAGCTCAAGTACTTTCAGAGAGACAGCAATAAAGCTGAAGCACTGCCTATTCCGGACTCCCTGCTTGACCTAGCAAACCCTAGGGATAAGGCAGTCATTGACTACAAAGAGTCGTTGAAGAGAACGGTTCCTATGGTTCAGCAAAACCCAGCTGGACCTTCCCCGGGAACCAAGCCGAGAGCGAGTGAGGGTAAGAAGAAGAGAGCCCCGCCACAGAAACCAGTGGCAACCCGGCCTAATGATGATCAGTCTGGTAACTCTTCCGAGAGGACCCAGACTGCTGAGGGCCACCCTATCAATGCTGAGGACACTGCCGATGAACCATCAAGCCAGGCCCCTTCTAATAAGGCTGGTGGTGAGGCCTCCGATAGCATGGCCAAGGGAAAGGAGAGGAATGATGATGATGATAATGCAGATGATGATGATGACATGGAGGGAGTCCTGATCAGCAACAGGAAAAGAGCCGGAAAGAGAGCCATTCCGATAGACTTCGACTCCTCATCGGACAATGAAGAGGATGCTCACATGTCCCGACCACTTAAGGGCATTGTCATCAGTGAGCAGCGCTCCAAACACAACAGCGACAAATCTGCATCATCACAGCCTAAGAAGAGGCTAAGAAAGAAGAGTACAGTGGAGGAGGAGCTGGCACTATACGATGACTGCGACACCTTTGTCACCATAGACCGAACCACGCCCCTAGGAGCAGGAGCTGACCTTGTCAGTTCCCGGGTAGAAGTCGCAGCATCTGGTTCAACTGCGCGTGCACAGCCATCTCCCATCCACTCTCCAGTCTCCCAACAGACTGGAGTTTCAATATCTCAAGGGGAACTTACACCGACCTCACTGATTCCTTCCGAATCTGCTGAGAGACTTAGTGGTCAACAGCCCCGGACCACTACCCCCATCCGTTCTATCACTTCGAGTCTAGGTGTCACCATTCCTACATTTTTGAATTTTTCTAGGACACCTACACTATTCACTGCACATACAGGTGCACTCACCCTGAATGCAACGACCGGAGTGCAAACTATGATGGTCGGAAGCCCTGCTACGCCAACAATGCCTCGATCATTGAACGCAGGCCACACATCAGCTGTCTTCACTGATGCTGTGACAACAGTTACAACCCCTGTAACTGGTACCATTATCCCCGAAGACATTCTCGTATATCTGAACAGCTTTCTAGAGTCTACCATTAAGCCATGGGTGCATGAAGCAATAACCGCTAATGCACAAGACTCTGGAAGTACCCCAGTTGTTCAGAATATACCATCCAAACCCCAGCGCCAGCGGATACTTGAGCATGTTGCTTCTACTAGCCAACCCTCAAAGCCAAACCAACCCTCTACCTCTACCAATGAGCAACCCACTACTTCAGCTAGCCATAAATCCCTAGCCACTCTCTCTAGCATGGTCGAGCTAGACATAACATCCCGAGGTGCATCTCCTATAGATGTTAACCAAGGACGGAATGGAAGTCCTGATGATGCTACCATGAGTACATCTTCTTCTTCAGGCCATCAGCTAGAACCTAGTTCGAAACTGATGTCAACGGGCAATCCTGAGGATCCCGGAGTCACTCAGTCTCAACCAAGGGAGGATTGGCCGCATGTAACAAAGCATAGAGGTCTGGTCTCTGCGCAAGAGCATCGTGTTGAGATAATTGAGGATCCCTGCAAGTCTCACCAGGATCCCGATGCTACGCCAGACATATCGCCACAGCAGCAGCAGAATCCCTCCAGCCAACACGATGATCAAACACCCGATGAACTTGAAGAAATTCTTGTTTATGACAAATGGCCCCGCCAGTGGACAGAATGGGATGATCTTAGAGTGGAGGCGGAGCAGTACGAAATGTGTCGAAGTTGGCAGCTCAGAGAGTTTCTCAATAAATATCATGCACAAATGATTGGGCTCGACAATGATGAGATAAAAGAAGGAGAAAAATACAAGGAGCCTAAATCTGTCACGAAACAAAAGACTACTCCGAAACCCCTGGACAGTGTCAGGATTAAGACTCCCTTTCTGGAAGAAATCAAAGAACGAATTTGGCGCACACCTGAGAAGATCAAGACCTACAGAGAGCTCAGGATGCGTGGCATCAATCACCTCAAAGGAAGAGACAGAGGTGGAAACTTGTACATGCTAGGACACAGATCCACAGGAGAACGACGACAAACTTTGAATCATAATCTTGCAACAAGCGGATGTCCAGTACAAACAATCCTGAAAGTAACAGAAGAATACTTAGAGAAGATCAAATTCATGGTCTTTCACCTACAGAGAACTGATGGATCAACATTCACCTGTCAAGAAAATGATTTCTTTCTGTTACATATGGACGACGTCTATCAAATGTTTATGAGATGCAGAGAACTACCAGTCCATAAAGACAGACTTGCAAAGGAAGGTTTTGAAGCCATAAAAAGGTTCATGATGAGACAAATTCGTTATCATGGAGGTCATGATCTTCAGATGGGCCTGGAAATGAATTATCCCAAAGTGAATCTAACAAAGCCAGACCTTGACAGACCAGGGATAGAAGACTTCCCAGAAGACCACATCTTTGACAACCCAGTCTCGGTCATCTATCTGAATCATGAAGGAAAGAAGCGGCTTTTGTTTGTCAGTGAAATAAACAAATATTGCGATGGGACACTAAAGATCATCAGAAATAGATTGCAATCAAAAAGGGAAGAACTCGTCAAGAAGTCAACAGAAGCTACAAAGGATGAACTCAGGGAGCTGGAAAGAACAGAAGATGTCCTAAAAGCCATAAAGACACAACTTGAGAACAGAAATTCACTCAGGAGCTATGAGCACGCGCTAAACCTCAGAAAGAACTATTACAAAGCTCAGAAGTGAAGAAACCCAGCAAGACGGCACTTGACCACAAAGGGGGAGATTGTTAGAACTTTTATTGTGGGTCAAGTTTGTCTGTAATGTCTTGTTTAAATAAAGTAGACTAGTTATACCATTTATGGTATTAGATTAGTATTTATTATGTAGCAAATAAGGTAAAGGGAATAAGGCCCAAAAAGGCCTTGGCCCAACTTCCAAGGTTTACCTAAATCAGTAACCTGTACAGCGCCTATAAATACGCGCCTTGTGTACAGGTACCGATATCGATCAATACACATTAGCCTTACGCTGCCAAATTTACTTCTCGATACTACAGAAAGAAGGTTTCACTGTTCTCGATAAATCTTATATCATTATATGAAATCTTTCTCTTCTGTCTATCGATGATGCTCATCTAGCTGATCGTTAGTCTGCAAAACTGGGACCAACAATATCTCTTCTCATGCACTTTGGAAACTACGAGAATTTATTTATAGGGATCATTATTGGCGGAAGGTCTCTAAAGTTGGGATTATTCAGAAATAATCGATAGTTGGAATTATTATGGGCGGACCATCAATAGTTGGGATTATTACTATCAATTTTTTCTTTATTTTTTAGGAAAAGGTGGCCAGTGCTGGCATTTAGGAAGTAAACATGAAAACTATAGTAACAATGAACAAAGTTTCATTTCCAGTAGGTGACAAAATTGAAATGTTGCCAGAGGAAAGGAATGTTGCTAGTTTATTTGAAAATGAAGAATAAATGTATGTGTATGAATGTATGATAGTGACTAGTATTTTATACTTCACCACTTCAATGCTGATGTAGTTATTTATGATGTTCATGTTAGGGTTTCCCCAATAAAGTTAACGCATATAAGATGGTCTTATACTACAATGTATACTCAAACATACCATGCACTATACAATATCCAATCATATGAAAAGGATAATTGACCAGCCAGTATAAAAGTGAACATGATTACGTAATACATTAAGGGGTGGTAAATACCGGAATGTCATTGTCAATTGTTTTGGGAATTCCGGCCACAGAAACATGGAGACCACGCCGTCTAATTTCCTGAAACATACGACGAAAACTATTTTAATAAATCATCAAGACCTTAATCCCAACTGCGTTAGATCGGTGGGATAAATTTAGTGTCAACTAATTGACTAAAACTTGTTAAAACTCTAAGTTCATCATGAGTTTTTCAAGTTGCATTGAAAAGATCATGAGACAGGAAAGAACTGATGAAGTTGTTTCATACTACGTATGTCACTATGTCATATTTAAAATGTTAATTTTGAAATTTACATTCACATCTGTCTTGAAGCATGTTTTAATATTCACCATCATCTAAAAGAAATTAAAATATACATATGGATCACAATTCTATTAAGTAGTGATATATTTTTTAAGATCTTTTCCAGTTACTTTTAAGTATAGAAGTAGATCAAAGGGAAAAACAACAAAATGAAAACCTTATAGATTAGTGCTGCTCCTTTCTGAGTTCCATCGCCACCAATTATATACACCTGAAATGATGATTACAACAATTAGAGCTAGATGAAATTCATATCTCAGAAGTGCAACAAATCTAAAAGGGATTAGAATGATACTAGCTAAAGTATTCTACAGCCCACCAAAATCTCTTGATTGAAATACCTGGTTAATTCCACGTTCCTGTATGCTATCTACAATTTTGGTGGTATCATGACCTCCTCTAGATGTTCCAAGGATTGTACCACCACGTTTATGTATGTCATTTACAAGCTTTGGGGTTAATTTTTTTGTATTCCGCGCATAGAAACCCATATACCCACCCTAAGAAGAAGAAATAAAAGCAGTATTAGACAACAGTGACAAAAGAATGCACATTGCAACCACTTGATAGAAATTTATGTGTTTCATTTACAAGGTCTGAAGTTATATTTATTGTATTCCTGGCATAGAAACTTCTACAGCCATCCATGAAGAAAAAAATAAAAATAAAAAACACAATCAAAAAACAAAAGAAAGAAAATGCACAACTGTTTTCATACAGCCAAATCACTCTTGAAAGCCCAGACTAATCATCCACTACACCTACACTTATCATGCAAGGTGTAAACTAGAATGCATGAGGTCTATGTGAAGGGCACATTGTTAAACATCATACTTTCAACAATATTAATCAATGTTGTGTAAAATAATCAATTAATTAAATGAATGAACGAACAAATAAATATAGCGGTTTTCTGTAATATAACCGAAGTAAAAGTCATTGGCGAAACTATGATGGACGCTGCACTAGATAAAAATGGTCACACTACATTGATGAAATGATCATTGCACATAAGGCAATTACATTTTTTCAACGAATTCCATTTTCATAATATATTTTCGTTATTATTCCATAAATAAATACAATTACAAACTCAGTGGCTCTTTTGTATATTCAGCCTGTTCACATAATCAGAGGAAAGTGAAGAAGACATACGAATGTATGAATTATGAATAATGCATAGTAGCTAGGGTGTATAAACAATTTGCAAGAAGCTTACTTCTATTCCAAGGACTTCAGTGACACCATATGTGTGAAGGCTATGAACAATTTCCCTGATCACAGTATTTAAGCCAGGGCATAAACCACCACATGTTACAATACATGCATGCACCTCACTTGGACAAAAATACACCTGAGCAATTTTGCAGTGTCACATCAAGAAAAATGTATTGATATTTTATATTACTGAAAGGTTATTGATTGGAAATTTGTATCTAATAACTGAGCAGCAAGCATACCTTTTGACGAGGACCAGCACGTCTAAAATGTACACCTCTTGGACTATCAATGTGAACAACAACCTAAATAGGAGTAGACATCGCAGTCTAAATTTTTTCATATCAAAATATATGGCTTTTGCCAGTACACAAGACTGCTATAACACTACAACTTGGACATATATTGAAATAAGATGTGGTTTTGAATACAGTTTTTTTTACAAACATACATATTGGGGCTTGACATAGTACGCCCTTCTATAGTCTTTCTATGGACCGACTCTCGCTTATATGATGTACCAAATAATAAATTAACAGAGCCATTTGAAAAACAGAGATTACCTTTTGGGGCACTACATCTTCCATGTCAACAAAGTATTGTCTGAAATCATGTCGAACATGTCAATGATGTTAGAACTCATGAAATGACCTAAATAGCAGAGGATGAGATTTTAAAAATATTCAATGGATGAGCTCTTAGTCTCTCTAGCTACCAGACAGAACATTAATACATAACATAAGAGAAAATACAACTTACTTCACAACTGAATATGCAGGATCAGAACGCAATGGATTAGAAAAAGTCTGCATAAAACACAAATAAAAAGTCAATGTAAAAATCTAAATAATAAGCATGTAGAGCAATATCTTTAAGAAAATGCATTTTCAACCAGAATGCCATTACAAGCTTACTATATGTAGCATATATTCAATTCTTTTCACAAAGGTTATGTTTAACATTCCTATTGGAATAAGCTCATGAAATATTACTTCATAATAGAAATTAGGTCTCCCCTCCTTTTTGCTGGAAAGGCACTTTATTTTTACTTTTATCTATGACAAATTTGACAGATCAACATTTTATGGTGCAAAATGCTTCAAAAGAATAACCTAACATATATGAATCAAAATTTTGGCCCTTTTATCAATTACCTGCATTTGAAATATGCTTTAAGGATGGAAAAATATTGAGGTTGAGAACAGATAAAAACAAGAAAGTATGAGACTATCTAACATTCTAACCAATGAATGTGTTAATAGTAATAGCATCCTATTGGACATATGGATCATCTCCTCAAAAAAAAAGTGTTGTACAAACTACTAGTTGGCTCAAGTTTCAATGTTACAGTATTGGTCCTTGAGCACAAAGAAAAATTCGACAAGGCCAGCACTCCAAAATTCCAAATCATTTGGCCAAGTTATACACTTGGGATTACACGATGGATCAATGACCCTAACAATACTTGGGTAAGGTACTCCAGAACCAAAATTAATAGTGCTTGTTGACTGCGTTAGTTAGTTATAAAGATGGCAACCATATTGACCATATTGACCTGCTCAAGTCAAAACGGAGAAAATCATATTGACCTGGATGGGAAATAATCATTTTACTTCTAAGGGTCACAAGGCTATATATTTGGGATATTGGCATGCTTTTATCCACATTATTGACAGTCCAATCCATTTAACTATGTTAAGACACGGGATTCCATCCTAAAAGGTCAACCTGTTAGGAGGAGTAGCCCAGAGCTTAATATAGCACTCGTTTCATCCAAACTTTTCCGGTGTGGGATATTTAACAAACTATTACTTAAAAACTATAAACTGTTATAAATAATAAATTATATTACCTCCGTTCTTAAATAATCGCAACATTAGAAATTTTACGCTATTCACGAGCTCTACTTTAACTATATTTTATTTACTAATGCATTAAGAATTTAATTTTTTAAATACAATTAAATTCCTCTCATTTTAATTTTTCAAAAAGTGATTTTTTATTTTTATTACAAATAGGAAATTAAATATATTAATGGTAAAAGTTGTGCGTTGGCAAACCTGAAATTGGAAGTGTTGCAATTACAAGAGAATGGAGGAAGTACTAAATCTGTCTCACTAAACTTTGGCAGCTTTCTTTATTTGACTGTCCTAAATACTTTATCACATATCCTTGTAACGTAACTAATTTGTGGTTAACACTATTATACTCGTCTACATAAATCTCAATCACACTACTAAAATTTCTTATTTTACGTGCAAGTCAAACTTGATAGCGCTATATATAAGAGAACAATGGAGTATATGAATAAGTGTGGAGATGAATTCAAAACGTGTACTAATATGTAAACATGTACAAAGACCCATGCATACCTATATAGTAAAAAAGTATTTGCTAAATCACAAATCACAACCATATAATTTCATATTATTCCCATTTTTTAAACGTAACTCAGAATCAAATCAAACAGAGAATAATTTTATGAGACAGAGAGAGTAACTCTTCTTGGGCTGAATTTGATGCTAACATAATTTTCTAACTTGTTAGTGAAATATTTTGATTTTTCATATATACTTAGTTCAGAATGAAACAGGTTGGGAAGTCGGATATTGTACCAGATCCGTGAATGAGACATCTCATATGTTGGCATGTCTATGATGGATGGGTGTTCTTATTGTAATTATCCTCCTAGTTGTATTGTAAATCAATTGGCTAACGATAGCTTAATTTAATGAAAATTGAGGTTTCCAGTATAAAAAAAAAGTTCACTTTGCTAATGTTTAAATCTAGTATGATTTAATTTTTCATATTTAGAGTTTTAGACCATTATGCTCATGTTTAAATCTAGTATAATAACCCTATAGCTCATTCCAATACATATTTTTCTTAACATTTCACGTGTACCCATCCTCTTTTTAATCATATTTTTCCAATACAAAACATTTCATGCGTAGTTTCTTAGCTATTAGCTATAACTCCTTAATAACATGGCAGTGTTTTGGATTTTAAAAAATAACATCAACAATTACAATGCATTCGTCATCGGTGGTTATGGTCTTACAAGTAGCCTGGGGACGAAGTGCACCCCCCCAAAAAAAACTATTAGGTATATTTACTCCATAATTTTAATATATGTGTGTGTTTATATGTATTCTTTTTATATTATAATCCTCCTACCGGAAATTTCTGAGTCTGCCGGTGCTTATAAGGTGCTCTCTTCGCTTAGTTTTCAAGAATGGCTAATTTTATCATTCAATCATTTCATGCGGCATAAGATGAAGTCAAGAAGAATATGCATGACAACACATTTATTCAATGGTTAAATCAATCAAATAGACACGCATGCATACACATAGATGATAGAGGCGTAAGAGCTAGCATACAAGGATGTTGGGGAGGTAATCGCTCAAGTGAGGAACATCTTCAAGCACATAGCCATTTGGTCCCTTCACCACCTTCATCTCTTGAGGATTGTTTTCCCCGGCCATTATTCAATTCAATTCAATTCCAGGTCAAATGAAACTACATTCAAATTGCATATGACTTGGTGTTTTTGTCTATAAAATTGAGTTTCAAAATCCAAAGAGATGTGGTGATGCGATTTTCAGAAGACCCTTTCCTTGAGTCAGTAGAAAAATTAGTGAAAATATGGCGTTCATAATTGGAAACAATTTGATCGCTCCGCATGTTTCTCTCCATGGTTTTATATTACAACCACATAAGATTCAACTAGGCGATCACCTTTGAGGGGAAAAACCACTTGATAATCACAAAAGTTAATCATGTCCAATTTGGTCTCTTTACTACATTAAATCAACTACAATCTGACTCAATTTAAAGCAATAAAGTAAAAACAAAAAATTGTAGCAAAAAACAAAATAGTCAATCAACAAAATTGAAACCAATATTTTAGAAGAAAATTTTCCCTTTGGCTCCCCGCTCCTCGCTACCCATGAAAAAACAATCCTTGCTTTTCCTCGACAAAAAAATCAACGTGTTTTTCGTGTCAATCCATGAACTAATATGAAAAGTTTTCCAAAATCGTCAATTTGATCAGTCACCGAAAAGGAGGTGCATTCGGATACAAATTTTATCACAAACATCATGGTGGTTCGAGAGGAGGGCGAGTGCCCAAGAACCCATCACCGTCATCTATCAGTGTTACAATTTCAGAAAAAATGTGTAGAACAAGCATGCCAATCACAAAAGCAAAAACTCCGCTATCAGCTCCACCGATAAGAAATACTATACACCAATCCTAAACACTACAAGGAAAGAAACATACCATATTAAATAGAATTGTCCTCACGAAAAAATAACTTTCATATGATAAAACTAAAATTGTTGTGTCATACGCTAATACGCCCAACCCCTATCAATTATAATCAATTTCAAATCAAATAGTTTGTTGCCATGGATGTGGCAATCAATTGATTTTTTATAAAATGTTATCATTTTTATTATGCTCCAACTTTTACAAAACATATGTCAGATTAAATAACGTTTGAGTTTTTCATGATACCAAACTTGCATATGCTCATTAAAAAAGAAATCTTCCGATTTATTTAAGTGATATGATAAAAGCATGGTGCATGTGAATTTTACTAATTTGGTATGGCCCAATTTGTTTTAGTCTATTTTAATTTAGTCTGATTTATGTAAATTTAACTTGATCTGGGATCTACATAAGTCCAATAAAAACATATTGTCCGTTTATATCTTTCTGTGCGACATGTCTCTTTATGAAAAAGAAATTAGTTTTCGAGCAATATTGGGATGCGATATTTTCTATGGAAAACATGTGTAGGCATATAAATATGCATATGGGCTTAATGCAAAATCACCTTTGAAATATGTCAGAGAAAAAAAAGTGATGACAATTAATTTATTACTACTATTTAAATGTTACTTATTTAATTCAATAATGATGATGTCATCAACAGCAATTGTACTTAGTTTTTCTAATTATGTAACATTTTTTAATTTTTTTTTATATTTAATCAGATCATGAATACGGATATATTCACTGATGGTCATTCCCTTGTGCATATGCACAAGTACTATACCAGTCACTTTTTTTAATTCTTTTTTTTGTATAATCTAATTGAGAAGATATATATTAATGAGAAAAATATTTGCAATTTAAAAAATGCATATGGGGGGCAAGAACTCATTTATAATGAGGCATTATTTTATAATTATAATAGCAATAAGTAGTGTCGATCATAGTTATATCACTAGTATAATAATATAATAAGGACAATATTCGATACAGAGATGATCGGAAGGGTATGATGTACAAATATTGTCAAACATGGTACGGGAAAACTTATTGAAACATATTAAAAAGAAAATTGAGATAAAGATATTGGGACATATGACGTAATTAATATGAATTAAGTTATAAGTACCTCATACGTGTGAAAGTCAATAGTACTATCTTATATTAAAAACAATATAAGATATTGTTGCCCACAAGATATAAGTACCTCATACGTGTGAAAGTCTTTCTACGACCTATGCATACGTGTGAAAGTCTTTCTACAACCGCAGCGAATGCGGGCAACGTGTGAAAGTCTTTCTATACGACCGCGGCGAATACTTTGACAAAATTTGGTTTATGCGGTGGCAGCAACTTTTACATATATTAATTGTTGTTGGTTTTCTTTTTATTATATTGCCCGAAATGGACAATTTAACATGTTGCTTACCAAATCATAGTTTAACACATTTGCTCCAAATTCATAGTTTAACACATTTGCACACCAAATCAAAATCTTTACATAAAGTATGGGGTAATACAACGTAATCACTTATAATCAAGGTACTCATCCAATACCAAAAAAATGCTAATAATGTTGGTTATTTAAAATAACCAACTTTATACAGAGTATTGTGTCCCTAAAAGGTATAAAATATAAATAAAATATTAAATTGAGTATAAGGCTTTTATAAAGGCAACTGAAGACCTACAAAATATGGTCAATATTGTAGCTATGCAAAAAAAATGCCAAGGAATGAATACATTGATGACGACTGAACCTTGTTCAAGACTTGCAAAAAATAAAAAATTCTTAAAAGAATAATTGTGCTTCTTGTCAAAATAAATATATAGCTTAATGACACTATGGTGCTGAATAAAGTGATATTACTTTGACTGAATATGCTCCAAGATGTTTCCTAAGTAGTGAAATCTCTTGTTCACATCAAAAGCACATTAAAAGTATAAAACAAACGGAGCCTTACTTCTATAACTTGATCTTACAAGCAGTAAGCAACCAGTTACCATTTTGACTCCACTTTGACACAAAGAACAATATTCTTGTGGTCATGACTGCAAAACAGAAAGGAGAACAACATTACATTGAGATGAATTTGCTCCTGGCATCAGCAACTAACAGAAATGTCCTAAAAATTAAATAAAATATACTCCCTGTCTTACAATAGCATCCTCCACTGACAATGAACACAGCTCTCTCCCTGACTTAGCACCTCAAACTTTAACAAGATTATCTTTTCCACCTGATGACAGAATAATATTATCCATAATAAGAGAATTTCCCCAAACTTTTTAATACCATGAAAGGACATTTTTGCATGTGTTAAAGGAGTATACAGTTCCGGGGGAAAGGTTTTAAAGGTAGATAGTGTGATGTTTGAACCTGTGGAGTAAAGACTAAAAAACGGTTTAGGGGGTGTTTGGAACTAATTCTGATTCTGCTTCTTTTTTAAAAGCAGAAGCAGAATCAAAATCAGTTTTTAGAAGCAGGAGTAAATTAGAGCACTAGAATCACTTCTGGACTTTCACCCAAACACTCCAACTTCTTATTCTGCTCCCTGAAGGAGCTGAAGCAGTTTTAAGAATCAGATCCAAACACCCCCTTACTCAGGAAGCAATAGAAAAAGTAAATAAAAAGCAGACAGACAAGTGCATGAAAACTGCAGAGCAACATTACAACCATGGCCTTCCTAAGTCGAATGGTAAACATAAAAAGCTTAGAAGTAAATAAGGAACCATTCTTTGATAAGAAATTTCCAAGAAAATTTAACCTGCAAAGCACATTACTTAAGTCCATCATCAAATAACAAACCTTAACCTTTGATAATGTTCATTTAAGCCATTTCTTGTGCAAAGGACATAGGAATTGCATACTCAGATAAAAGAACTCTTACTTCTTTTTACAAACATAAATTATTATTAGTAGTTTTATAAATTCGTAGAAATGTTATACGGAGTATTAAACTTTAATTAGATCACACTACAAGAAAAGTTACATTTCTTGACACACATTTTTGTTGACACATGTAAAAGTGTCATAATATCTGATATATTTTGACACATATGTGTGACAAGATAATTCTTTAGACATTTTTTTTTAAAATCACGTATAGGTAGAAGTGTAGAACTCGGTTAAATAAATGTATGTATTTATTGGTGACTAACACTTTGTTAAATAAATGTAAAAAATTATTAATAAACAGTAAAAAGCATTCAAATTAAAAAAGAAGAAAGATAATGGCCTAAGCTATTGAATCGGCACTTTTAGACTACCCACCTAAAAATCGCAGCTCAAATCCATCATCGTCAACTTCTAGATCAAAGCAGGAGATTATCTCTACTCTATAGCTCAATCTTCCTTGTCGATCAAATCAACAGATTTTCCTTGCTCTCGATCTTCCTTATTAGCGAATTTGCGCCTTGGAGAATCATCCGCCAAATTCGCCCCTCAACCAAATTTCCAGGATTCATCGTATTTCAGTCTCTCAGTGTCGCAAGTAAAGAGGTATTGCCTCTACTTTTCAACGATTGCTTAATTTGTTACTAGAGTGATCGATCTTGTCATTTCTTAATACCGACTTCTAAATCGATCTAATTTCAACTACAGTATCTATGGCTCTTAAAATTTGTTGCAAGATTGATTGCCTTTTTATAGATTTCTATCCCAATATGTTTATATTCTTAATAATCTTATATATTAATGAATTGGATAGATTTTTTTTAATAGAATGACAGTTTTTACAATTGCTCAATATCATTTTGTTTACGCTGGTGATCACCCTTCTCTGGATTCAAATGGATCTCTAATTAGGAGGTGATCACCCTTCTCTAGATTCAAATGGATCTCTAATTAGGATATATGGTTTTAACATGGGTGAACTATATTGAAACAATTGATTTCTATATTGTTTTTACTTATTTTATGTTAAATGACATCTTATTAGTGAAAGTTGCAGTCCAATGAACTTTTCATTTTGTGAAGATAAATTGAAATCTCTTTTAATTTTAAACTAGGCTGCAAATGTTCAAATTGAGATAGCAATCTCGTGTCTTTCTATTCAAAACATTTCTTAGAGTGTTATTAAGCATCGAATAAACCTATCTCATAATGTAGGTATTACTTCTCAACCGTGATTAATAATATAATAATGTTGAGATGTGAAAAGCTATTGAATCAAACAGGGATAAATAATTAAAGGTCTCCTTTTTAGATTAAAATACATAAATAAGGAATAAAAGTTCAGAATATATGTAGTTTAAGAATCAAAACAACATAAAGGCTCTTGTAGATTCATTGTAAGAATGTTTTTCTAGACTTGCATAGAGTTGGACATGATGAGG